GATGGACTCTACACCAACACTACCGATATAACTAAGATGACAACTGAACCCCAATACAGAATAAGAGGAACCCAAATAAATTACGATAAATCCACAAGCACAACGACAATATTGCAATGGGATTCGGTGAGTTTTATTGCATAGTTTTTTTAACACGTCCATTTGTTTCCCATATTATTTCTTTACTAATGTTGTAAATAATTTCAAGCCATTACAGCTGGCAGACAACCAAACTCGACTTAAATACTTACGTCTTTTAAATCCAATTCATAAATACCTAAGACAGTCTACTCTTTCCTATAGGTTGAGAGCCCGTCACGTGGCCGGCCTTATACTGTTAACAAAACAGCGGCTGGCTGGTCGTAAACACTTTATCGGTGTCACATGGAATTTGGACTCTATGAAATTCTGTGCCTTTTACCGTTTTTTTGGTTGAACGTTCACAGTCCTCACCTAAGCATGCGCAAAACTACAAGTAAGGCAGTATTGCATAGTCCTAAATTCACACTCTACCGGCACAGCTGCGTTCTGCGCCACATCGCGCAATACGCGCAATACGCGCGACGCTGGACGCGCGCGCCAATCTCCATAAGGGGTTGTTTACGACTACTCGCGAGAGGGACACCAAATTACATGGCGGTGTTTCGAAAAACGATGTAAAATTATTGAACAAAATCGTTGGAAATATATCATTTTTCGACTTGTTTTAATTTTTGGACCGAACGTTTTGGTTTTTTTGACTGAGTATTTATAAATTGGAATAAATCTTTGGTTGGCCGGTAATCAACCTTATGTCTAAGACCGGTTTGGAGTCTGAATGCTGATAATGACCCTCGCCCTCGGCTCGGGTCATTATCAGCATCCAGACTCCAAACCGTTCTTAAACATAGTGTTTAAAACCGGCTAAGCACACATTCATTCCCTTATTACCCGTAAGAGGAGATTTCTGAAATCATCCGAAGTACGTAGGAGGGGAAAAGGAATTGGAATTTGGACCGTTTTTGAAGCTTCGAATACCGCGCGGACGGGCACTCAAAAAAGTCACGCGCTTTTGCCGTCGTAGCCCATTAGGCACGGCTAGTGGCCAAAACGCGCCATGGCGAGTCAGAAAGCGACGCCACATGCTTAACGGAACATTAATCATTAAGTTGAGACAAGGGCGACAAGATTTGTTCATTAGAAGGCGATGAGGGATGAGACTGTAGTGGTCTCAAGAGGAAGACGAGACATACTTTATAACCCTAAGTGCTGCTTGGTAAAACCGGAAACAATTTTTTCCCCGTAAAAGATAATAAACAGAATTTATTATGAGCATCAGGTGCTGTAAAACTCACTGATCCTTGGCGAACGAAACACGGGTCAAGGCAGGCCTATAAAGCTGGTCATGGAACGGGAAAGAATGTTGTGTCCTGGTGCCACTTCTGTGGTTGTGTACAAAGTCTACGGGGAGTCGGTTGCGTTTTCTAACAAAATTAGAAGTGTTTCTCAGTCACCTGATTCATGTCTTTTCAACATTTTTGCAATGACTGACCTTCTTGAGATAATGTATGATAAAAAAAAGTGGCGTCAGGATGCAACGTGCTCTCAGTAGAAAGTGCTGCTACTAAATTGACCAAGGACGACTAAAATGTTCGTTGAATGTGATGAAGTATAGCGACGTAGTGAAAATGAAAAAATATAGTGATGAACACTTAAGGCAAAAAGGCTGCGAAACGGAATAAATGAATAAACCTCTTTCACATCCTTCGAATTGTCCTTGAAATTCGTCGAACGCCAGATATTAAGTCTAGAAAAGTACATCAAAGGCATTTATCAATTACTAAAAAGAGACACGAACTGCGCCCATCCTTATCATAATACACAAAATCCTCTCAACTCGGCACAAGACGGATGTCACATTTAGACTGGTTCCTTTATAAACGAGATTTGTTATTCACGTTGATTGTGACCCTGCCCCTAGGGAACTATGTACGAGTGGCCGCGGTTCGATAGCTCCTTCTTTGACATCAACCTCTGTCTGATTTGATCATCATTGGTGTACTTGATTAATTAAGTGCACGGTTTTTCAAATCGGCTATACACTTTATTAAAATAAACTGACACTAACAAACAGTGGTTTTTAATAACAGGCCATGTCAAGAAAGAAATTGGTTCCACTTTTCAAAGAACAAAGTGTATTTTTATTTTACCGATTTAATAATTTAGGGAAATTTCTTTTAGACGATTTGCACAGTACATAGTGAGTCAAAATTAAAAAAAAGTGGCTCGCCCTATTTCGTAAAAAACATAGCCATAAAGTACATGTTATTGACTAGTAAATTCGCAAATTTCTCTCAATTTACATACTCTATTCCCAAGTTATGACTTTTTTTCATTACAAAAATTACCAAATTCAGCTGTCCACCACTGATCATTTACCGTTCTACGAACTGATGAATATTCATTAAATACAATGAAACATGGACGTGCTCCCACGTCCTTAAGTGAACGAAAACTTGCAAAGGAAAACACACAAAAAAATCGCCACCGATATTTAAGAAAAAGGAGTGGACTTGTTCCTCATTTTCAAAACACAAAATCTGACAGTAAAAATGATGTTTCAGTCTTGACTCAAATGATTGAAATCCATTTGTATTTTAATGCGGGTGTGTAATCTGTTATTCAATAGCATCCAATGGTATTCCAAGGACATCTATACAAAATTAGTTCTTAATATACACATGCATAATTTCTGATGGCATGTATACATTTCAGTTATTCTTTTTTTTCAGATGATTGGTAGAAAATGCTCTTTTAAAATATTCTTCATTCGTGTATAACATTGGATTGCTTTTTAAGAACAAAAAGCATTAATCCAGGTCGCTTTCTTTTGACTAAACCTTTACAGTTTGAATGCGCGCTACAGATTAATTTAGAACTTGATTTAAAAACGTCCTCGAAAAATAAGCCTGTATAGATATTTTTAAAGCAAGCCTTCACATAAAAACTGTATTGAAATTTTAAGAACTGTCACTACCTATTGACATTTCCTATTATTTAGGTTGTAGGGGGCCTACGCAAAGTCAGGGATTTTGATAAGATTTTGAAATGGCTTTTATTTGCAGAATTTATTGTTCTTACTGTTTCAATTTTGAACCGGCCGAGCCAGGAGGATCAGTTTCCCCTCGGATTTCAATAAAACCGTGCCCTTGTGTTTCGTTAGTAATGAAGCAGCGATGCATGGCGATGCATCAAGCGCAGGAAACCGTTCGTTTAATGACAGGCACTCGGTTAATGGTTAGTTGGTTACCCTAGTCGGCGGTGGATGCATCACAATTATGGAATTGCAAAGCAAAGAAGCTAATCAATAGAATGATTTAACTCTTCAGCAAAATAAGCATTAAAATTACGTATCTCTTATTTCATTGATTATTGTTGCAATAATAAACTACTCGTAACTGCTTATGGTTGCCAGTTATATTTACTGGTTTTTTTAAATTTATACCTTTATTTATCAAGGGTAAACCCAAACATCAAAAAGGTGGTTTTCATTCGGGCCCTACATTAAAATAAACTAATATAAATTTTACAAAATCGAAGGCTTAATAAAGAAAAAGAAGGGAAAAAAATCAATGAAATGATATGCACTTAACACAAAAGCAAACTCTAAGAAAAGATAAAATTAAGCCGGCAACAAAAACAAATCAAGTCTCTCGGTAAAATAACGGTTACACTAAAAAAAAAAAGTGCGCTAAAAGGAAAACAACACCGAAATGAAAGGTTCAGGTACATGTATAAACAAACACAGACACTTCAGTACGAAAGAAATGTTGAAAATAATTAGAAAAGTATAAAAACAAACATACAATGTATGTCCCTAAAAATTAAGAAGTTATAATTAAGAACACATAAAGATTAATTACTCAAACATTATTTAAAAAAGCAAAACGAATACAAATACTGTTAGGTCTACTGCTGCAGTTGTAACTTGTATAGACCTTTATCATGCTGCCACCATTGCAGTCATGTTCCCTGTACCCAATAACAGCACTGAATGATATTTTTTTGTGCAAAAAGGAACCAGACTATTTTCCTTCCAGCCTCGCTTTGGTTAAGTTGATTTGAATGGGGAAAAAATCACAATGGCCGCAACATGATAATGGTCTAAACGTGGCTTTTTGCATGCTTAGAAAAACAGTGCGTTCAATGATTGAAATTTGAGATGGAAATTGGAATCATCAAGTCATGGGAGCTGTCACATGGGGCATGCAGAAGTGGCGTAAATCTGTGCAGGCGAGGGGGGATGGAAGACCAAGATTAAATCTAAAAATTGCCCGGTCGCGGAAATTCGAAAGGGGGGGGGGGGCTGGACACCACACTACACTTGGGGCGCTGTTCACGATACAGATGTACAAGTCATGCATATTTGCGCGCTTATAAGCCTTCAACTTTAAAACATCTTTTTTTCTCCGTTTTCAATGCTATTGAATACATTTTGGTTGTTGGGGAGTTGGAAAAATACCTCAAAATCAACATTTTCTTTTACTTTATAACACTAAAAAGTGTGTGTGTGTGTGTGGGGGGGGGGGAGGGGTTTGATCAAATTCCCCACTCCCTGGACAAAAATGGGGGGGGGGGGATATCCTCATCCCCGGGATTTACGCTTCTGATCATTGATCCACTAAATTCTACGTTTTGAGCAATGGAATCTGTTCGTCTTCATAGACAGAGGCGAAAATGTGGTCCAATTTGCATGTATAAGGGGCTTCGGGTTCTGGTGAACGCACTCAATTTTTTTTTTTTACGATAAAGAGTTCAAATTCTTTACAGCGGGGGCAAAAGCGGTGGGGGTTCAATGACCTCAAGCTGGGGTAGGGGGCGTGTCCCCCATGCGCCCTAACTTTAGCAATATTTCAGAAAGGATTCGGTGGGGGTTCAATGACCTCAAGCTGGGGGGCGTGTCCCCCAGGCTCCCTAACTTTAGCAATATTTCAGAAAGGATTCGTTCGTGTAACACTTACCTAACGTGATGTTGGGCAGCAGGTCCTGTCTGGCGTTGATACGCTCGATAGCGTACACCATGGCGTACATCCATTGCACACCCCTAGGGTTGATCTTCTGGCACTCCCCGTACCGCTCCGAGTGCATGTCGAACAAACCTCCGAGGTAGAAGTCCCCTTTTCTGTTGAAGCTCGCCCGGGCGGGGTCGTACGGAGCGGCGTCGCTACCGAGCCAGAGCCCAGCGAGCTCCGGGTCCTGCCACGCCGGGTCCCCCGGCGTTGAGATCGGTAGGTCTCCGCTCGCTCCGTGAACAAAAAGGAGATTCTCGGTAATCAGAAGGAAGTACGTAAAAATCACCGAGGTTATGAACCGTGGAGGATGTGGGAATCTTGTGGGACAATTCAGATTCATTTTGGAGCATTTTGACGATTTCTCTTTCCAAACCCAGACGCAGTAAAGTGCCGCACCTCCACAGAGCACCAATAAAAGTTAACCTTACTACAAGTCTGAAGATGGTCTCTCAGTATCCACTGCTTAGTCTGAGGTACTTCCACTCGTCAAACAGACAATCCGCATTCATCTTCGGTGCATTGGCGGTTTCCCCTTGAAAACCAAGTTCTTTTTTCTAAAACAGACTTAAGCCACACGCAGAAAGTCTAACACTTCCTCACCACACAAATACAAGTCCGCGTTAACCTTGTAATAAAGTCAGAAGATGAACCTTTTTATTGTCCTTTAGTTTGAGATACTGCCGCTCGAATAACTCAACAAGTTAACGGGGTCACATGCACCTCAATCCCGTCAAAACAGATCAATTTCCCTCCGCGGCTGATGTTCAACTCGTGTCACACGAAGTGCTCGCACTGCGCGTCCGTAAAACTGACCCATCACTAGAAGAGGAGCGATGATCGAATTAGCTCACGCGCAGGTACAAGTATAAATGCCAGGTCCGTTTTGAGCGAGTTCTGATGACAGCACATGACGTCCGACGGGTATACAGCTGTATAGATGCAGTGGTTACCACTCTTGCCCCTCGGTCATGATCGATGCTTTTAATCCCTTCGCCGAGTACCAGTGTCACGGTTGCCACTCCATCGTGTGTGGTGATCAATAAAGGTCACACGCTAGGTAATAATGCATATTGATTGTCAGGGCTGACTAGCTGGCCTTTTATCCACGATCGATCCGTCTGTGTGGTTAAAAAAACATAAATGCACGATTGTTAGCGCTTGCTCGTAAAAAAGTAAAGTCTGTCATGAGTCAGTGTGGCCCATCAGGCCGGCGTTTGTATCCGGTTTCAGTGGCATGAAACGACAGAGATTATTTTTATTCCTCCTGGACGGGATGCTAGTCCATCACAGATTTCTCCCCAGCTAATGCCAGCGCTTAGAAGAACAAATCATAATAATAATAATTAAAAAAACATTATAATGCGCCTTTTGCACACTAATGCTCAAAAGCGCATTAGAGTGTCTACGTTAAAATGACTACGCTTAAAGTAAAAATAACAAATAAAAGACATTACATATAAGGACTAATGTAAAGTCATGTCACCGCGCCAGTGCCCAACCCGCATGGGGATACGTCTGTCCCGCCATAAGGGAGATTATATTACTAATTACAGAGTGATTAGATATTGAACTTTACCTAAGCAGAGGTGAAATGCACTTTTTTTTAAAGAGCACCAAGAAAACATTATCAATCTGCAAATAAAAGGCAAAAACATCTTTGTCACGCGCGGCACCCGATGGGTGTACAGTGACCTCAATTTGCATGTTGACCCCAAGTTGGGCGTGGAAATATTTGGTTAGACAATTTTGTCACATTTTTCGCCATCAACTTTATGTTTTGCGCTATATCGATACGTTTTGGAGTGTTTTCATAGAGATAATTTGTAATACTTAACAATTTACAGTCGGAAAGAAACAAATTTTCCAAAACAAACAAACAAAACAAAACAAAACAAAACAAAACAAAACAAATAAATCATTTTCACGTGCCAACCATGACTTCAGTGGACAGTGAAATCGGGGCATATTTATACCATTTAAGCACCAAGTCTCTCCATTCAACCTTATATGTTGTGCTTCGACACACTCCTTATATAGGCATTTTACAATAAAAACGGCACACAGCCATCTGACAGACAGACAGACAGACAGACAGACAGACATCAGACCGACAAACAGCGTAGGATCTTTTCATAATGGATTGTCATTGGAGATAAACGCGGGCCAGACGCAAACACTTCAACGTACAAATGTCAGGGAAATGGGTTGGTATTTTGCCCAAGGTTAATCAACATATACCAACTGCGTACAATCTTGGGCATTTCCCAACAGTCGGCCAATATTTATTCCGGATTAACCAACAATGAGGTAACTTCATACCAATGGTGTGATAACTTTGCCCAACAGTGTTTTACCCAACCTTTCTTTCGCAGTGTTCGTGAAATATAGGAAATGTTCCCTGTTTTTCTTTCAACTAAAACTGAAACATTAAGGTCCGGGAGTCAGGTTGGCGTAGCGGTACTTTCCTCGCCTTCCACCGCTGTGACCTGGGTTTTCAGTCCCTACCTGATTCCGTGGGTTTTCCCCCAGAATGTTCTTCTGGGTTTTTTCCTCCCACCTCTAAAACTGTTATTTCTTCTCATTGTCTCCTCCTTAAGTTTCTTCAGGCTTTCGAGCTATACAGTGCCCAGAACACTCTTAAGGAATCTTTGGTTTCATTTCCCGAAAAAAATATATAATAAAAATGAAGTATAACTTCACATCGACGTTGGGTAAAACAATTGCTTAAAATAGTGTTTTATCCAACTGTTGTTCACAGTGTTCGTAAAATACAGGAAACGTTGATTGTTTCCTTTTAATTACAACTGAGAAATTGGTGCATATCACATACATCATGGCATTTAGACCTCATGTGAAAATGGACTTCGTGTCCACACTGCGCATGTCTCAGAACGAAGAACCCAAAGAATAGACATGCGTCAATCCATACAAAGGTAAAGAGATAGAAAATCACGCAGGTTCATTTTAAATAGGACACCAGCGTGCAGTTACACATCATCAAAACGCACAACCCAGCAAAATTCAAATGTTTTTGCTTTTGTTAAACCCTAATTTAAACCAATCTACCCATTGAACAGTTGCCTTTAACGAGGGAAGAACGTTTTCGCTCGAGGTATAAGGTTTGTGCCGAATTAAAAATTAATCAATCATAGTCCGATTGAAGAGTCTATGAAAACTGAGCGTAAAAAAAAGTAATAATAATAACACCATTAGGATGACCTATGGTAAATTTGTAGATAATTGAAGAAGAAAAAGATGCCCAGCTGTAACAATTTTGTTAAATGATTAACTAGTTAATGAATTAGTGCGATCGCTGACTCGCTTTCACTTTTCACTGAAGAGGATTTTGACCCGAATATCATGTCAGCTCATATCATGAAACAAAAGTCTTTAGTATACGAATCTGCGGCGCGACGCTTATTTTAATAATAATTTCCAATCGTACTGCCGACATGGGTAATTTACTGGCTATTTGCACGGTGGAGTGCAAATAGCTTTGTCCGTTAAGTGCTTCCAAAAATGCTGTTATCAACTACCCGGACATTTTTTGGCGGGTTTTTTTCCCCAGAAAGAATGTTTTGATCTCCCGTTGATTAAAAATAGCAACTGGGTTTTTCTTTCCAATCATAGGGGAATGGTGTTGCTACGTATAGGGAACAGGCTATTAATATCTAATGCATGTGAGCTTTTATAGCTCTTCCCGTTAATCTAGAACCTACCTACAGAAATGAGCCATAAAGACCAGAAGGCAATTTTCACCATACAGGGAGAGTAAAAAAACAAAAAGCGGAACCCAGACCCAAAGAAATCCATTTCATATTAAAAAAATTTAGCACCAAAAATTATGACTGGTAAAGCCAATCAAAAAACTACTATTAGATGAAAAAAAAATACTTCAATTGCTAAATCCCTTTACATTTTATCACCATTTAAACGAAATGACCCTAAACTCTATCCAAAAATGCGATATCAAGAATTGTCGTTACAATTGTCTTTAAACATCACCAGCGACAAAACCTCAGTTTAAAATTTGAAAATATTTAACAAAATCCTTAAAAAAAGCAGTGGATTTTATAAATCATATTGTTATATAGCCAAAGCAGGGTTGTTAATAAAGATACTGTGTAGCCTACTACAGTTGTTCAAGCAAATATTCTGTGTCATATTCTTTGTTGTTCCAAACAGTGAGGACACACAATAAATTGCTTTTTTTTTTGGATCAAACTGATTGAAGGGTCATTTCGTTTAAATGGTGATATAATTTGAATTACGGATTGAGCAATTGAAGTAATTGTTTTTTCATCTGAAAGTAGTTTTATTAAATTGGCGTACCAGTCACAATTATTTTCGGTGCTACCTATTTTATTGAATATGAAATACATTTCTTTGGGTTTGGGTTCCGCTTTTTTTTGACTCAACCTGTACAAAATAACAATACACTAACAGTATATGGACAGGTGCTTTCGCAAATTGATTGGAAACCTCCCAAATTAATTTTACCAATTATTGAAACGAATGCTGTCATATATCAAGCCCTGTAGATATACCCGTTGTGCTTCTCGCTTTTGACAAATACAACTAATCAGCATTAGCGAGTTCTGCTCCATTTCACAAGTTATTAAGTCCAGAGAAAAAAAAATAAAGGCAGTTGTCACAAATGCAAAAAATATTCCAGCAAAATTGATTGATTTCGCCATTACTATTAGACTGCTACGCACGGAGAAAATCAACAAAACATCCAATGACTGTTCCCCTTTTCTCCCCAGGGATACCAAACAATGCCTCACCTAATGAGTTTACAGCTTTAAGAGAATGTTATCTCCCGGTTCGGTCCAAACTGGATGAGGGTTGTCCGTAAACAACCCACGCAAACCTGCGCTCGACACGCACCGTCGATAATTATACGCGAGGTTCGCCGGTTGCACTCGCGTGCTACTTCGAACCCCAGGGAAATCACTCGATATTCGCTCGAAGAACTCCCGCCAGATCCAGATCCTGCCCCCGATTTTGTCGGAAAATAATATTTTCATCTGAACGCATTTAATCGGCAGCCAATGCAGCCCGGGTGCAGTGGATGGAGTTACCCCTCCATGGGCGGATCCAGGATTTTTTTTGCAGGGGGAGGGGGTGTCAGGCCCGTCAGAGTTTCTATGTTGTAATTTTTTTTTTTTATCTGAGCAGTGATTGTTATTTCTTTGGAGTGCCATAGCAGGGGGGGGGGGGGGGGGGTTCAATACCCCACCTGGATTCGCGCCGGCTTCACCTAAGCTTCTGTGACGCAGGCTCGATTCTCGCCCGGGGCCGCACCGGCATGTGGTGCATTGATTTTTCGGTTCCCGACCGATTCGGTGAAATTGTCTGGAGGATTTCAATTTTATGTCATTTTCTATCCACATGGTATGTGGGTTTGAAGCATGACGGGAAACATGGTGCTTGTTTTCTTAGGCAAGGCACTTTACTACAATCGCTTTTATTTACCAAAGAGTATAATATATACCTGTGGGGTCGAGACTAGATTTTTGCGAAGATTGCGAGCTGCTGCAGTGTACAATCAACGCACAACATGCCAGGTTCGAATCCCGCCTGGGCCAACATGTGGAATGGGTTTATTCAGTCCCTGCCTGATTCCGTGGGTTTCCCCACAAATATTCTGGGGTTTTCCTTCCCTCCTCTAAAACTCGCATTGTCTCCTCTCTAGGTTTCTTCAGGCTTGCGAGCTGCAGCGGCTAGAGCACTTTTGAGGAATCCTTGGTTTTATTACCAGAAATAAAACCATTATAACTCATGGTCTGATGACCGGAGTAATTCTAACGTGAAACACTTTATTTTGGACCATTGTGACGTGCGCTTTAGTTTCGTTATCTTGAAGAATAAAGATATTCTGTTAATAATAATAATAATTTATTCGGTTATATACCTAAAATCACAATAAATACATAAAATTGGATATTAAAACAAAAGAATACAAACAATAAGAAACCAATTAAACACTACACACGAAAGACAGAACGTGGACAGTGCAGGGCTGCCAAGGAGAAGAACAAAAGTGAAATAAAACACCGTCGCCAATAGGGCGTGTCTCTCCAAAAAGTGGAGTGTTGACTAGTTAGTTTCGTGA